TCTCTCTCTCTCTCTCTCTCTCTCTCTCTCTCTCTCTCTCTCTCTCTATCTATCTATCTATCTATCTATCTATCGATCTATCTATCTATCTATCTGCCAAAGCGGGAAGATTCATTCCCGCTTTGCGTTTCAGATGCAAAGCGGGAATGATCCCGTTCGTTTTTCTTATTTCTTTTTTTTTTTTTTTCGTTTTTTTTTTCCGGTTTTTTTCGTGCCTTTCACGTCAATGTTCAGGATGCCTGTGCCCGGTAGTCCGAGCCTCGGCACGGATCGGCGTACCGGTCGGCCGAGGCTCGGACTCGATAGCTGGGCCAGGTACTGGTGGTTTAAACAAACCTGCAACACCTGGCCATTTTGCATGGTAAGCTGTCATAAAGTAGGCAAGCATCTGATTGGAAAAAGAATGCAGGTTTGACTAGGTTATTTGGGAACGTTGTATTGCGTATTGAATTTATGATGCGGAAGCTCTTGATTATACATTTGGCATGTACTGTCAGCGTGTTTGGCAGCTTGAGCAGAGTGACCGATCAAGGGAGATTGAGCAGATGGGTGGCTATGGCTATGCACTTGTAGCTTTTGTTGCATGTGCATTTGACATGAGGTAAAAAGTGCTAGGGACAGGAGAGGACAAAGACCATAGAATTTGTTCCCCTTCAAGAAGACTTGCTTAACGAACTGGTATTGCACTTGATCTGTGGTTTGCAGGATACGGCAAGAGAGATCCTGCAAAATGCTCCAGGTGTTGTAGTTATTGATGACCGTGAGAGGAATCGCTTCCCAACCCCGCTCGAGGTATGTGGCAAAAAACTTACAGCAGTGTACTGGGGCGTGGTATAAAGATGTTATGCCTGCGATTAGTCATTGCTTCGCAATGGGGTCAGTTGGTGTTCGCCTACATGTTCATCGTTTTTGTCCATTTTCTGGTAGCGCACCGAGGAAAGGTGTTGCTACATTGTGTCTACATGTTTTCTGTATGTCGTACGGCGCTGAATGTCATGTAGTTTTTCGGAGATTCCTGCGGCTGTTATGAAATGGTTTTCACCTTCGTGGTAACAGATGCAGATCCCAGGGCTCGATCCCTGCGTACAGCACAGTTCGCCCCGTCCAGGTTTGAACCCGTGACCTGCCCGTAAAGTTGTCTGTAGGCAGCTACTGTACATACGAGGGTTGAGTAGATTTGAGCTGCTTACCAGTAGAATAGAAGTCGTAGCTTACGACTGGTGGTAGTGGTTGTAGGTCTGAAGGGTCAACCTTAGTCAACTGCTACAGTACCGAAGGGTCAGCTAGGTATGTCTAGTCTTCTACGACTCCCCTTTTGAGTCTTAGAAGCAGTCCGTAGGCAAGTGGGCAAGTGGGGAGACTTCTCACGTCCAGTCAGCAGTACCCAGTCCCAGTCGCACCTTGTCCGGTCATCAAGTATCATGTGGGACTGTGTGCACCCTGGGCCCGGTGGAAAGGAGCAGACCAGCGACCAACAGAAGTATAAATCAAGAGGCAGCGTCCAGTTATTCATTCGTCCAGACTGCGAGCCATGCGGAAGCGCTGCCAGAGCGACTTGTGCAAGCAGGTCTGCAGGTGCCCGAGGGAGAAGAGGGCTGCGAGGGAGACGAAGTTGCCATAGCCGCTAGCTAGTGAGGGACGCAGATGCAGCCATAGCGGTGCTAGGTTAGAGACAGGCTATAGCATGTGTGTGTATGAGTGTGCAGTGAGCTGAGTGCGTGCGTGGAACATCCAGGGAGATCCAGAGTAGCGTGTGTGTGGACAGTTGCTGTGGATACAGCGTTGAACGATGCTTTGAGTTCGCGCAGGCGCCATAGCCATTTCGAAGCAAGTCGAATCTGAACTGTGTTCTTGGCCACGATATTTCTGAGCTTTGTGTGGGCGATCATCGCCAGTGTGATTTCCATGCATGCTGAGTAAGCGAGAAGACGATTCTGATTGCAGTTATTACCAATCATGGCTTATGCTATGGCTGTGCTGAGTTTACAGGACCGGGATTCAAGCCAGCTAGATGCAGGCATAGCACTGGTGAAACCTGGTCATTCAGAGAAAGTGGTCAGCCGCTTCAAACTCGTGAAGTGTTCGCTTGACTTTTCCCGAGGACTCCTAAAGATCAACTGATCCTTGATTCCTTACTAATGTCATTTTTTCGTTTGGTTCCCCCCCCCCTCCCCCAATGGGATCTTCCTGAGGACAAATGCATTGGGTCAAGAGAGAGAGAGAGAGAGAGAGAGAGAGAGAGAGAGAGAGGTGATGTGGGACAAATACCTTGATGCTGTGTGCTTTCATCTGGTGACGTGGCAGCTAATTTTGCATTTTGAAGGGTATCATGGATGTTGTGTGCATTCGTTACTTCTTTTGTAGAGAGAGACCCCTCCAGATCTCTCCTGAGCTTTGGGACACCTACCTTTCCCCACCGCCCTCTCGCCTTCCATTGTCTCCCTCACCTTCCCTGTATTGCACTGCATACTATCATCTCCCCCAGCCCGCAGTCTGCTGGCACCATTTCTTGGTTCCCGGGACTACGCCGGAGAGGTGATCTATGCAATGTCTTCTTGCATCACCTCCACTACCTCCCCCACTCTTTTAATGAAAATTTCTCCTCCTGGTTGCAATATGTCTGCTGCACACATGCACTTCGAAATTACATCCCAACCAAGCCCATGTGTCTGACTGGTACACATGAACTGTTGATAAACAGACCCAAGTTCGAATACTGACAGAATCAGATCAGTAAAACGAGTCCAAATTACCTGGGGCCGGTCAGTTCTACTAGATACCTCAGAAAGTGAAAAAAAGGCGCGCACACACACACACATACACCAAAGAAACCCCAACTAAACACGATTCAAAATGGTCCCCAATTATGATTCATGTTGCTTGCTGAATTCTTTAGCTGTTGGGCTGACTCAACTCGAATCTACTTGTCTGGGTGGAATACATACACAAATAAAAAATGCAAACATGCACACTCTCCTCCCTCCCTCCCTCCCTCCCTCCCTCCCTCTCTCCCTCCCTCCCTCTCTATCTCTCTCTTTCTCCCCCCTCCTCTCTCCCCCCCTCTCTCTCTCTCCAGGGCAATGCGCCTCGCTCCAACTGCACAACATTCTAAATGAACCTGGTTCAGGTCGTGGTCCTGATACATCGGAGACGTTGGGACAGTTTGGATGTATTTTTGATGGGAATGCTGTAGAAGCATCTATGCGCTATTCTCATGTTTTAGGAAACATCTGGATGTGCTGTGTTTCTTGCCCAGGCATCGAACAAAGATGATGTTGCAGTTGGTAGAATACGACGAGACATTTCCCAGGATGGTAATTGGGGGTAAGTATATGTCTGGTACCTTTCTTTCCTCTTCGTGTGGTGCTTTGCATAGGACTTTCCTATCAAACCTCTTCTTGGTCATCAACAAAGTAAAGCTATGCAATCGTACACCCATAGCTAGTCCTGGCCTTTGGCTCTATGTTCCATATCATGATGTATGGACTCGTATATGGATGGATGTGCAAAGTTGAGAAGGGAGAACGCAAATAAGATCTGAAGGAGAAATGATGTGATCCTACTTCAGTTAGAGTTGCAAAACTCAAATTTGAACTTAGACATGGGGCGTCGCTGCACTACTCTTGAATCTTGAGAAATCAAGAGTTCATCACCGCTGCACCAACTCTTGATGCCGCGTCCTGAATTTCCATTCAAGAGCTGTCAGATTCACTCTCGAAAATGTCGAGAGTGAGACATCGCTGCACTAACTGTGGAAAAGTGCTCTTGGTCCGGTCCTTCAAGAGGTGTCAGAAACGGCCCATCCGACGAGGTCTTGAAGATTCCACAGTTCCCGCCTGCAGGGGCATTTTTTTCAAATGAGGCCGACCGGACCCGTCGTGCTGTTTGCAAATTCGAGAGTTGGCCTCCGGTCTCGATGGACAAATCGTCGCTGCCCTGTCGTGTAGTGTCTTTTCAGTTTCTCTATCTTCTGTCCGACAGTCAAGAATGCTCACGAGAGTCGAGAGTCCGGAGTAAGTGCAGCGACGACAGCACTTGATGCCAATCCAGGAGTCTGACAGCGCTAGACGTACTCTTGAAAATTTTCAGGTGTCTAGTGGAGTGCAGCGAGGCCCATGAAATGCATTGGGAAGCACAAGAAAATGATGGTGAAACAAGGAAAGTGGCAGCATCAGAACTCAAGAAATAACGCTCCCTGGTGACTGCAGATGGCATTGTTATTTACCCATATCAAGAGCTTGTCGTGCTAGGTGCTCAGCAGCCAACCATTGTGAAGCATGGTACAAAGATTAGAACAGTAGGTCCTCTAGACTTGCAGTTGTCTTCAAGCTGGGACCGTCCTTCCTTATCCTCGTTAATCCTTAGTGAAGTCCGTACCATGCCTTACTTGCTTCCTTGGGCTTCTACCAGAGGCGCCACACCCTTTAGCAACCTCTTAGAGGTTGCTGCATAGCTACGGGGGTCCCCTTCTTTCTACTGCCTTTTCAGGTGCTCGGCTACTTACCCTCATGGAGAGCAGCAAAAGATCCACTGGTTAGAGCAGCACGTGACCCAGACTCAAGTGTAGCCTCTGCTTTCATTCGACTGGACCAGTAGCTGCTCCCCCCGCCATCCTACTCTGGACGTAGCTCCAACCTACCCAGCCACTCTTTTTTATTTTGTAGAGGGTAGCCCTTGATTTCTACCCTTCATTCTGTTACCCTCTCTTGGATCGAAGGTATATGCCTACCGGATAAAGGGGCCTGCCGGCCACCGGGAAAATCCTTCCAGTGTCCTCTGTCCCTCTGAATTTCAACCATCCCTCCATTTACCAGCTTAATTGCGTACGCGTCCTTCTAATGATAGATATGTCCTGCCTGAGACATGGAACATCACTCAAGCACACATGTTTGTAGTATGGCATCTACTTGTACTTGAAGGCGCAAACTTTGAACATGGGCGAGCCAACAATGCAGAGGACTCGGAGATCTCAACGAAAACTGAGCAAAAGTCGTCATTTTCTCCAACATCGAAGTTAAAAGTTCTCAGACTGCAAATTGCAACAGTCGTTGCACTTCCTCTTGGCCAAATGCCGCTCCTCCATGCGAAGGTCAGCATGAGGATTCTGCTTTTGAACAGGCTCTGTGCCCGTTCAAGATGCTGAACAGAGCAGTCCTGTTAAGCTCTGTGTGCGTACACGATCTGTCATCAGGAGAGATATAAGGAACCCCAGTGGTAGCGACAGGCTTGGCTAGATCCCATTTTCTGCAATACAGATCATCTCTACCCAGTCGTTTATGCCATTATCAGGTTGGCTGAAAACCGTTTCAGTTGTTTTATATGGATGTAACCTCGACACATGAAAGACTGGATATGTCTGAAGACGCGGAGTCACATCCACAAGGTAGACACAACCAAGGTTTCAATAGCCCCGATGCGTGACTGCTCAGGCTCATCATCAGGCCAGCTGCTATGGATATCAAGGTAGGTTCTTGATGAGAACTAAAGAGGCTAATAACAAATAATGAATGATGCTAGCTTAGGAAGTTAGGAAAGAGTATCTCTTTTGTTGGTGCCGCTTTAAGCGGTGATAAGGGATGAAGAGGTGAATCTATCCATCGTTGACGTCTTGATACGGTGACACAAAAGATGCTATGCTCCATGCCTCACATTTCAAAAGTGGGGCGGAAGCTTTGATCAACGGTAACTCCCATCATATTCAGCAGAATTGGGCAACTGAGGACCCCATTTCTGATGGGATATATGGCTCTACATTCTTTTTAGCTATACTGGATTCCAAATGGCTTTCGTAAAGTTTCATGTCATCATAGGAACCATTTTTCTACACTTAGATCCCTTCCCCCAAGTCAGTTAATTAAATTGAATTACATTGTGGCCAAGCTGCTGCTGTAAGTAAATGTACTCTCTCTGCGATCCACCGTTCACTTTGGTGGACGCATCCACCGGTATTACTAAAGGCTGGAAACTGGATTAAAATTTTAAAGGGACCGATCCGACCGAAGAAAAAAGTTGAAAAAACCTTTTTCAAAAAGGCCTATGAACGTTTCTCGATCTATCTGCTACAAATGGGGCGAAGTTGAAGCAGATCTATCGCAAGATCAAACCGTCAACGTAACAGTTCCGAATTCAAGTGGAATAGGGAAGGGCAAGATGGTAATCATGAATAGGGAGGCATGTCAACAGGATCAGTAGAAAGCACGGTTGTTCAGGATCGCTGATGCAGGTGTCTCCAGGCAAACACTGAAGGGATAGGTGGGAATTTGTAGACATCCACATTTGTGGATGTGCCCAGTCCATACAGATGGATCCAAGGCTGAACATCTGCATCTGCCTGGTCACCAGAAAAAAAATGTTCATTTTCCTTGTGCATGTGAAAACATCACCGCTCATTGCACCCAGCGCATGTGGCTGAATGAGAAATGTTGATAAGCAAATCATGAATTTGAGTACTGATAATATCAAATACATATGTTTATGTTAAAAAGGACGTGAATTCGAGTACTGATAATATCAAATGGATACATAATATTACGTGAATTCAAGTACTGAATATCAAATGGATACAAGGTTGCACCCCTGCCGACCGCTGACCCCGACCGCCGACCCCGACCGCCGACCAGTAGGGCCGACCCGTCGGCGGTCTGCCGACCAGTCAGAAAACAACCATCCACTGCTTTTTTTTCAAATCTGAGTTGGGGGCTTTACTGCGCTTGCTGAGTACAGCCCAAATCCGCTGAGAAACGGTTGGGCATGGGGCGGGTTATGGGGGGGTTGGGGTTGGAGCATACCTGCAGCTCGGATTAAAAAAAAAAAAAAAAAAAAAAAACCCGGCTGTTACGTGTGAGAACACGCAAGAGAGAGAGAGAGAGAGAGAGAGAGAGAGAGAGAGAGAGAGAGAGAGAGAGAGAGAGAGAGAGAGAGAGAGAGAGAGAGAGAGAGTGAGAGAGTAAAAGAGAGAGAGAGAGAGAGAGAGGAAACAAATAGCTCCTTAACATTTATTTGAAAACCCCTGGGGATCATTTGAGAGGCCCTTGCACATAATTAGCAAGGGCTACCTCACCGTGAACGAGGTACTGCTCATTGCAGAGTCATGGCACGCCAAGTATATATGCTGTTGATTCACATTAAGGTCCGTGTTTCAGGAGTTATGGGACCACTGAGCACGCGAGTTTCTGGGCAGTAGAAGGGCAACTCACCACGTGCTTTCCAGGGCTTCCCTCCACTACTCACCAAATGTGCAAAACTAGAATGAATCTTCTGCTAAAACATGGAACCATACGCCACCATATGATTTGTCTTTTGTGCAAGTGGTGACGAGTGGAGCAAGGCCCCTAGGGCCACTGCTCGTGGGAAAAGGAAACAAAAGAAAGAGAGGAATGAATCTTCTGCTAGAACATGGACTCATACGTCGCCATATGTTTTGTCTTTTGTGCAAGTAGCGACGAGTGGACCAAGGCCCTTAGGGCCACTGCTCGTAGGAGAACGAAACAAAAGAAAGAGAGAGCTACGGTAGTAAGTAGTTGTAACGTGTAACCCATAACTGCTGGAAAGCAGACCTGACTTCGGATCCACGACATATATTGCTGGCCTGCTCCATTCTCACATGAAATTTGCTGAACGTCTCTTGAGACGTTGGGACCTTTGCAGATGCACTGGGCCCTTCGGGAAAAGGACAATTCAACAAGGAAAACGTGTGCTCAATTTTTTTTCTGTGCCCTTCGACATTTTAGAAGGGAGGGGCACCATTGGCTACCTCAGCCAGCCCTCTCCAATTTTTTTTTTACTCTATTTATTGGGGTGCGCGCTCATGGTTGCACGTGCACTAGGCGCCACACGTGCGTAGCTCGCCCGCACGCGATGCGCATTAGTATAGGGGTGATATAGGGGGTTATGGATAGTTTAATAAGGGTGTTGGCGGCTGTTCGGGGTTGTTGGGGTGGTATATGGGGTATTGGGGCCCGCTATGGRGGTGTTGGTGATATTATTAAGGGTTCTGGGCCCCATTAAAAAAAAAAAAAAATGCGGGGTGCCGACGACCCCCGACCAGTAGGTGCCGACCAGCGGACCGGTCGGCGGGTCGGCAGCCGACCAGTCAAGGGTCGCCGACGGTCGGGGTGTGCAACACTGAATGGATACATAATATTACATATTACATTTATGTTAAAAAGGAAGAATCTACAGCTGAATGCTGTGAAATGTTGTAAATATAGGCAGAATCGAAAAAAATCTGGGAAACACACCAAGCGGGTAGTTCACAGACTCTCTCTCTCTCTCTCTCTCTCTCAACACACACACACACACGCACAGTCGGTGAAAGTCTGACA